TTAATTCAGTCCACGCTCTAGTCCTAAATTGGAGACAGAGAACACATACATACTTGGTGTAAAGATTTCTCTGCATGTCTTCTTTTTCTCTTAGCAGATGATGTGACCCTCCTTCGTTCATTATAAACAATGAATGTATCAAGCTTATCTGCCAACAGTTATAGCCACTAAAATTATTGATAAGCATAAAACATAACGGGAATTGGTATGCCTCAATGATCCACCATACAGACAGAAATAATACCTTCAATACCCTTATAATATCGAGATGGACATGTACTAAGAAAGCTGTCAGCAATATTTTGCATTGTGCATTCAAGCCTTCCACCAGAGACACTATGACAAATGAAAAGTGATCAGAGACTGGCTAATAACCATTCATGTGTACAAGTTCTGACTTTTCTTACTGGTGCACACTGTAATGGTTAGCATACCATGCAGAGTTACTAATATTCATTGGTGAAAGAAGGTAATTTGAGGTATCTTTGCATATCTACCATCAAGTATTACTGACGCAGACAAAATAGTCACTTGCGAAAGCAGCACTTTAAAGTTTTAAGAAAGTACCTGTGTTGTTTACCAAATTGGTCTATAAACGTTATAGGCTTTTTAACATTCAGCACCATGCCTGGTAAGCTGTTTTCACTATTACTTGATCCGACCGACTCGGCTGAAGGCAAATCTACATACAAGATGTTTGTATTGGCAGGGAACTCTGCTTGCAACCTTGAATATAGAATGGTTAATTAGTGTATAATGAAATTCAGTAATAAGAAATCATATTGAATTTTCCACTCTGCTTCATTCCTAACACGCCAAACTTCACACTTAAAAAAGCATATTCGATAAGATGGGAAATTAGCATAAAGATGATCACTGAATAACAACAATGGAAATATGTAGCAGGGAAAAAAAAAAAATTATTGTATAAGCTAATATTCTAGTAAGCATGCTGTTCACATGCCAACAAGCATTAAGGACATCAAAACACATAAATCATATACATTAGACTAGAGATTTGGATTCATAGAATTGTATACCTACTTCGAGAATGAGGTCCGTCTGCTATCCCAAACTTGTCAAACTCTGTGTACTCGATGCAAGACAAACCATATGCCCACCTTCCATCAAGAATTTTTTTCTCAGTTAGGACATTAATTCCTTCTGTAGCCCCCAAGTTCCTCTTACAGGATGCAAACCCCAGTTTCTGTAGCAAGTAAAGGCAAGAAGTAAAAACAGTAAATGAGAAGAACTCCAAAGTCTCTAAGGACTCTCTTAGGTACCGTTTACTGTAAACTCAAACAAACTCCGTAGTCCATAGCAATGGAAATTAGGCACTTCCTGCTCTTTGGCCACTAAGGGTTAACTATTTGGCAGGTTCCAGGAAAGAGGGGGATCTAAAATCACTTTTTCACAAGTGTACCTTGCCATGATGTAAACCAATACCTGCCAGTGCCAAGAGAGTCAAATCCGTAGCTGCCACAACATTGCTGGAAAGTCACCATATATAGGTCAATACAGAGTTTGGCATCCAAATTAACAAAATTTTCCAGCAGAAGAAGAATAAGGGACTTATGTTATTAAATATACTACTATGGCTCACCTAACTTGTCATACAGTTGCACCCTTCCGTCCATGATCATAAAACCATTTGAAAATGCCTTTATCATAAGCAAGTTTCCATATTACACGCTGACCACCGGGCTTGCATACAGGTGCAAATGGTTTTGTGATTATCCATTGCCCATTTTCTACACCAACAGCTGGAACAAGGGGCTGGAAATTCACAAGCAATTATCTCAGCAATGACATTCATTGCTCAAACCAGATAGACTATTACACTGTAGAAAACCAGTAACAGAAAATGATCTCGTAGTTTCGCACATTAAACCTGTTCAAAAAGTTGAAACTTGATCGATCTCTTCTAAACCATTCAAGTTTTTCACAAAGAGAAGTTATGTGTTCATGGTTGTTCTTTGCAGCACTTGTCATAATGCAACAGGGGTGATGCATTGCTTCCCGTACATCTTGAAGTACAAGAACTCTCTAGCCTTGCAATTCAAACACACAAAATGTAAGATGCATATAACTCCACCATCTACAAAATAATTTTAATGTTAACTCATTCTTGTCAAGTACTAAGCTTGACAAACAGAGAACTTATACCTGAAGATCTCTTATAAGACCCTCCAATAAAGTCCGTCCACAATAAGGAAGCATTGCGGCAGGGAGACATTCACCTGTGTTGGGATCAACCAAACCAAGCCTGTCCGCAGAACCTCCCAAAGGATAAATTTCACCTATGTCTGGCAAACCCTAAAATGAATAAGATCATTTAGTTCAAGTGAAACCGACTTTATGTCATTCACGTCAAATGAGGAACATACCCCGGCACTAACCTGAACTCCCCATAAAGCAGCTTGAGATGCATATTTTGCATTTTGAGAAAGATCAAGTCCACTGGGAGCATGAATTTCTAAAAACTGGCATTCCATTTCTCTTGTATGCTCTTGGCCCAATTTGTAGTGTGCATTTCGACTCTCGATTGAGCTAGAATCTCCAATACTGTCATCTGGTATCTGCACCAAATATGTAATTAGATTCATTTCAATTCTCAATTTAAAAGGGCCCAACGTGCCTCCAGCCACCAAAAGCACTTCTCACTATGTTTGGCATAAAAACTTAAAATTGCTTCTCGGTCATAGAAGCACTTTCTGAACAAGCATTCTCACCTGCTTTTCCAGTAAGCAGTTGAATTTTAATACTCCTAGAAAGCTCAATAGTATAGTTAAAGTTTAAAAATTGACAATAAAATTCAGAAGGGAATAGTTAACTGACCCAATAATTCCTCCAATGCAGTTATAGAACTGTTCAATTTCTCCCAAATTCTTCAAGAGCTTCTTCAAGTCCTTCAAATCTTCATCATTCAAAGGCAAAGCTCCAATCTTCATCCCCGAACCCTCGCCATTCACATCCAATTTCTCAATCATTGCTACGAGCGCGTAAAGCGCGCTCTTCACCGAGCTCCGGGCCGACTCCACCTCGCCGCCGTCGAACCCGAACCCCCAACCAAGCACGAGCTCTTGCCCCGCCGCAACCAAGCATTTAAACAAGAACAGCTCTTCAGAGCTCAAACTAAGCGAAGCTAAAGCCGCGGAGAAGCCGCCGCTGCCGGAATTGAAGAATCGCTTCACTCTGGAATCGCCGTCGATCACTCTGAGCTTGGAGCGGAGGGAATCGCAGTCGGCGAGCCTGGAACGGAGCGATTTGAGGCGCGAGAGCTCCCGGTGGAAGTCAAAGTCGGGAGCTGACGGTGCGTACTCTACCGGAACGGTGGTGACACGCGTAATGTGGCACGACGACGAGCTCGACGACGATAAAGAAGAGGAAGAGGAGACAGAGTGGGAGAGTGAGGGTTTGGCGAGGCGGAGAGAGGTGAAGGAGTGGAAGTGAGAGTGGGGAGTAACGGAGGTGAAGAGCAAGTATGTGTTGTTTCGGTTGAGAATTGGTGTTGTGCGCGCCATTTTTCACACAGAGAGAAAGCCAGAGCGACTGAGAGAATTTGAAGAAGAAGAAGGAGAGAGAGAGAGAGAGAGAGAAGAGGAGAGAGAAAATGGAGGGAAGGATAAGGAGGAGATGCTGACAGAATATACGGGGAGGTTGAGAGAGGGCCGAGAGAGGTTCCAAAACCGTCCAACGGTGGAGGAGGATGACGTGGCCTAAATATCAAGGCACCTCATACGCTTCTCAGTCTTTTTCTTTTTAGTTTTCATTTTATTTCTAATGAATTTTTAAATTTTTAAATAAAAATGGTTTTTACCCTTCGCATGGCGTCATATGGAATATACTTACTAATTTATGATCCGGCACAGACAAAATAAAAACTTTATTCTCGACTTTATGAAATTTTTTATAATTCTTAACGGTCCCTTAGGAATTTCTTTCAAGGCTTGTTGAATAATTTTTACGAATTCTATCATGTGTTTGGTAACTATACAAGAACCTTGAATCATTCTCTTAAAGTACATCATTAGTTACTTTCAAAACTTGGGTGTCCAAAGAAAATAATTGCTTTCCTTAATAAATCACTAAGACTTTTGTGATAATTCTATATGTGAGTATAAAAGGTCTTTATATATATATATATATATATATAAAATTGATGAATGTCCAAAAACGAACCCCAGGCGTCCAATGAGTTTGTTCTCGCAGCATGGACATAACTAGCCCGGCCCGCTGTTGATGGGTAGAGCTCGAGCCCAGAGTTCAAAGCTTCAGCCTACCCCAAAACCTGGCCTGTTTGAACCCAATTCAGAGTCTAAATGAATAAATTATTATTTTCCGTCTACAGATCTTCCCTTCTTTACCCTCTATCTCAAAATAGAGAGACTTTTTGGGATGCTCGGAATACGGGTCAAGACATCACATATTAAAAATGAAGTTTTCTTGTAATAGTATAATAAGATATGACGTACCATCTCGTATTTTGAGCATACTGAAAAAAGTATCAAAAATGGGCAAAGGATGAAGAGATGGAAGTTGACTGAAACGACTTACTTGGAAAACTCTTCCGTCCAAAGAAGAATCTTCTTCCAGTTAATATGAGATGTTAAAAACCGATTTAGATAAAACTTATCTTTTATTTTCCCATTTTAACATTTTTTTAACACTAAAAAATAGTTATTTCCGGTTTTAATGTTTAAATTCTTTTAATCTTTACTACTGTAGACTAATCCGACGGCGGTAATTAAAATTTGGTTTTGTATGGAAGTATAGTGCATAGACTTTTCCATTTTTGTAAAAATTCTAATTAGTGCATGTATTATGTTAGGGTTTGCCAGCTCCTTTACACTCTAGCTAATTAAGTTTAAAAATAATTTAATCAAATCCATACTCAATCATCTCAAACTCTATATAAATTAATACGTTGGGGATCCATTTTTAATAGATTTCTTAATTAATTGCGTCTTCATTTTTCCCAGAAATTAAACACATTAATCATGGAGCAAAAAACCACCGTCCTCTTTGTACTCTTATTCTCTTTGGCCTCCTTTCTATCTCTACTAATCCCAACCACCGCATCTCCGCCTGTATCCGCCGTTTTCGCCTTAGGCGATTCAACGTTGGATTCGGGCAACAACAACCGCCTCCCATTCACCCTTTTCAAAAGTGACCATCGTCCGTACGGACGGGACTTGCCAAACCACGTCCCGACGGGAAGGTTTTCCAATGGAAAACTATCAACGGACTTCATGGTCTCCAAACTTGGCCTCAAGGACTTGTTGCCTGCTTACCATGACCGGAGACTAACTGACCGTGACTTGCTCACGGGTGTCAGTTTCGCGTCAGGTGGTAGCGGTTTGGATGATCTGACCTTGGCCGTGTCGAAGGCTACGAGTTTGTCGAGGCAATTGGAGGACTTTGATGAAGCGTTGAGGAGGATGAGAGAACTGTTGGGGAGAAGAATTGTAGTGAGATTGTCAACAACGCTGTGTTTGTGATTAGTGTTGGTACTAATGACATGGTGTTCAACCTCTACGATGTACCTGTTACACGGAGGAAAATTGAGTTTTCACCTTCAGGGTACCAGGATTTTCTTCTCAAAAGACTCAGGTCGTTCATTCAGGTATATAATTAAGCTAGCCCTTAATCAAGTGACCTGGTGAATTGGTAACATTAACTAGCGGGGTTACGATCGAATCCTAGGTTTTTTGCTGTAATTTTAGCCATGCATGATTGTGATGGTTAATTGAGTCTATGATTCTAAAGTTTTGTGTGCCTGCATGATTATTCGTGCAAGTCCTTTCCCTAAAAAAAAAAAATTAAAATTTAATAAAACTTCATTGATAGTAATTAAGATCAATTTAGATCTACCAAGATGATTTTTAATTTTGGTATGTACAACCAATTAACAACTAGCTACTTATGTTTAGACCACATTAATCGATTGTCATTACTAAAAAAGAACATCTAAAGGGTTGTCTAATTAAGGTAGGGTTTACTGTTACAATTTTACATGTTGATGTTATAACTTATAATTTAGATAAATTAATAGCACGACCTTCGACATGCTATGCTTATAATGTTATTCGTGATATGCATGGCAGAACCTATATAAGAGGGGAGCGAGGAGATTCAAGTGGCGGGTCTTCCGCCAATTGGATGTTTGCCAATGCAGTTGACCATTGGCAGCATCTTCAATGGGCTTCGGCGTGTGTGCGTGGAGCAGCAAAACAAGGACTCTCAGGCTTACAACACCAACCTCCAAGGCCTCATCCAAAGATTACAAGCCTCCCTCCCCGGTTCCAGGCTCGCCTACTTCGACACCTACAATCCCATCTTGGACATGTTCAATAACCCATCTAAATATGGTAAGTATGTGATTTTGAATATTGCCACGCCTCTTATCATTTTACATACCTAATATACATACATACATACATACATACATACATATATATATATATAAATGTTTTCTTTGATTATCTGTGCTTAATTTTTTATCAATTTTCATTTTGTTTTAATACTTGATATATGTGTGTAGGGTTTGTGCAAACACATGCAGGATGCTGTGGAACAGGGATGGTGGAGTTAGGTCCAATGTGCGGGAAGCTTTCTCTGACGTGTCCAGACCCTTCTAAATTTTTGTTCTGGGATGCCATGCATCCTTCCCAAGCAGCATACAAAGTTCTTGCTGACATATCAGAGAAAACTGTCTTGCCGCACCTTACTGCTTGACTGGATATGGATTGATCAATTTTTTTCTTTTTTCTTGTAATTAGTAACTTGGACTAGGTGAATACGGCAGGATATATATATTGCACAATCAGTTCGATCCAAGAATGCACTCTTTTCCTTTTTTTCAAGTTTTGAAGTAATATAAATTTGGTTAGCTTTTGTATTTTTTGGGGAAATAATCCTTGGTTACTTTTGAAACATTAAAATATTTTCTTTAAGAGCATTTTAAGTCATTTTAAAAGTATTTCCAAACGACCTCGTAATCATACATGTTGAGAATTTCAATACATTTGACATCAAATGTGGCTAACTGTAGCCTACAAAATAGGAGAAAAATAGTAATTCTTTTTGTGTTTTGGCTAAACGAAAGACAATTCATGTGATCTAAAACGAAATTTCATAAGGAAAATTAATGTTAATATTATTTGCAGGAACATATGGTTTCAGAGATAACGAATAAAAGTTAATAAATTTTCGAATTCCAAGAAATATTGTTCTTAATCAAGCACCAAGATTTTGGTTTTTTATTGACCTAAAAACTAATAAAACAAAGAGAACCAAGCAATAGGAACCTAAAAACTCTCAAAACAATGTACATATATGACCACCAAACTGTGCATATTTGGTAATGCCAAAAAACACATTCGTCTGTTTATACCTCGTTATTCACCAGTTTTTGAATCATATGCTAATAATATTGCTATCTATATATCATGGATCGATACAGGACATTACATACAACAAAATCCAATGATCGAACAACGAACAAGTAGACATCATTACCTTTTCTGTGACGGTAGAATATGACAGTGGTCAAGTTCAAAATTCATTAATTTGGTTGAATTTAATTTTGGAAAGTACCTCAAGATCTCACTTAGAATAATATTAATATTGTCTCATTCATAGAGTGAGGTCCAGAGTACTTGCCATGTTCTTCCCGTGCTTGCTGTCACCGTAACCAGTAGTACGTTCTAATTTCTTCACGCCAAGTTTCGAAGACGACGACGAGGACAAAGAGAGAGATAAACTACAACCCATGAGTAGTTTTTGATGATTATCACCTCCACACTGTAAACCTTTTCCGAATCCATGACCATGTTTTGGTGGAACTTTTAGTGACAGATTTAAATCCAAGTCACTGTTGTCTGTGTCCAAAGCCTTCCTTTTCTGCATGTTTTGCCCTTGATGATCACGAATCGCTGCACTCCAACTATGATAATCTTGGCATGGCCTGTGGATCACGGTTTGATATGACTCATCCCGAGTAATTTGATGCCTCCTCCAAGTGGTTTGTCCAGGGTTGGGAGATTGGAGATTTGTATGTAACTGATTTGCTGAAGTAGTCATAATATTGTTATTGTTGCTTCCAAGTATTCTTTCAGCAACTGAACCATAAAGTCCAATATTTCTGGTATTATGATCAAGTAGTCCAGTAGTCCTACTTGAACGGTATGGGCCGTATATCTGGTGGTGGTAGTGGCGGCCTTGCCACGAGGAATGATCTGTAGCACCATATCTAATACAAAAAAGAAGATTGAAATGGTTACTATCAGGATTCAATGAAAAATGAAAAACGAAAAACTATAAAACACTTTATTTATAAATTGTTCAAAATTAAGAGAACCATTTCATACCTTAATCCGGACGAAGGCCATTGTTTGAAGCTTTGTAGCATGGAGAGTTGAGTAAGGTTGTAAAGTTGGTTATCTCCACCTTCCATAAAAAATCCTGCTTGATCTGTCAAAACTGTCACATAATAAGAAAGCAAGATCTCTCAAGATTGTAAATATGTAAACCCTAACTTTCGTATTAGTTTTTGGAAGAGTAGGTGAGCCTGTGTGCAATTTGTTAACTTGTTCACCTTGATTGGGGTCTTCCATCTTCTTGCTCCTATGCATCTGATGATTAAAATCAAAGCCAGAAAATGTAGAAATACTAATCAGATATATATATGAACCCTTAATTTATATTTATGCATAGTACTGAATCTTATAGATAGTACACTTAGCAGAGAAAATATATAAAGATCATGAAATCGATCTGGATCAAATCAATTACTTGAAGATGGCTTTTGACATGAGCTATACTAAGACCCTTAACATTCATCAATTGAAGAACCAACTTGGGAGTTGCTCCTGCACCATTAAAACACAATTATTAATACTTCATTAATTAGGAACCAGGAACTGACGGGGAAGCTAGGCTAATCTCATAAATTAATCACAAAACCTAGCTTTGATCATACGTACTAAACTTACTTTCTTGTCCACCTAATCTTTCAACTGCATGAACAAAGCGAAGATGGAGATCAGGTGTCCATCGAAGCCGCGATGTCTTGGAACGAACATACTGCCTTACAGATCCAGAAGCTCCCTTCTTTTCATGATTTTCGTCAATGTTGCTAGTGCTGGAGCTGACACCGTTATTGCTCAGCTGAAGGCCATCTTCATCCACCTCATCCTCTTCACCCTCATCGTCTTCATGATCGTATTCCCTCTTGCTGGTAGAAGGGCTTGATTTAGAAACTTCTTCCATACTGGTGCTTTCACTCTTCATCCCTAATCTGTTTTATGTTTTGCTTCCCAATAATATGGTATTGGTGGGCAAGTGATGGCCAGATCTTGAATTCATCATATTTCTCTTTAACCATGAAGTGATCCTTGATGTTTGGGGAGATCCATTCTTTGCATACAAGCTAGCTATAGGCAGTTGAGCTAGCACTTGCAAGAATGGAGAAATTGGAGATGGAAATTTTATATATCCTGGCTAGCTATAGCTAGCTATGATAAATACATGATACTACTAATAAAGTATTTAAACATCTCACTCTCTCTCTCTCTCTCTCTCTCTCTCTCTCTCTCTCTCTCTCTATATATATATATCTATATATACATTATACAATATTATATGAGCCTTGCATATATGATGCAAATTTTGTCCAATCTTTCATGTACGTATATATATAGATACATGACAGCTTTATCGATACTTTAAAACACTCATACTGCACTTTGAATGTGTAAAAATATAAGGAAGAAAATATAAATAAAAAGGGATGATAATGACTTTTTAAAGAGTGCTAATAACATGTTTCTACACACACACAAAGGGTTAGGATTTAAAGATACACGCTTTTGACACATGTTTTTGTGGAGTCCACTCCGCAATATATATCAACTATCCAACCATCTATCTTAATAATTTTGGATTTCTCTAATTTTTTGCAAGGAAAATCTATGAACGATGCACTAAAACATAGACAATTTGAATCGTTGAAATACATTACAAAATTGGCCCTATAAAATGAATGTCAAAATATATATTAAAAGCGTGTATTTTTGAATCATAACTCATACACACACACACACACATAGTACATGGATACATCAAATTATTTACCCAAATGGTTACATGCTTATTGGTATAGTAGAACTCATTACTTACCAAACTACATGGGAGTTTGTTAATAATCGAAATGAGAATAATAATTTACTTAATATATGTGCAAACTATACTCAAAAAGAAGGAAAAAAGACGGGGATTTCCCTTATATACAGGTTACATATATTTGTCATTTCCAAATCTAGTTAATATGTGCTTAGTACTTTATACTAATCATAGGATATACTCTCTTTTTTTTTTTTTTTAATAAATAATAACATTTGTAGATTTTTGCTATAAGTTATAGTTCATCTTCGTCGTAGTCTAATTTGTGGTACGAATTAACTGTAACATTTTGGATTCAGATTAAAATATTGTTGCCTCCTGTTAACGTTGTCATGTCGATTAAGAGCTAAAGACCACATGGAAACTGGTAGTCAACTTTGAGTTAAGAAGAAACAGTGGTTTGCGCGCGACCTGTGAAACCGTAAGAATCCTGTGCTTGTACCTGGCTTTATCAAACTAAAAAAGAAGTTTAGGTCGTCAGCTCGTGACTTGTGTTTGGAAGAAAGGAATTAAGATTCTTTCCCCATTTCTGTTCGGGGCTGATGGATAGAAAATCCATATCACTCATTTTAAATCATGTGGTTCTTATTAGCCGATTTTATTGGTTCACCTCATACAAACTAAAGGTATGAATCCTCTTTCTCTCTCTTCAACAATCCAAATCTATATCATTGAGCTCCAAGCACAGAAATTTGTGAGAGGATTTCGACTTTGAAGAAAGAATACCCTATCTCTCATTTACATGCATTAACTGATTAACACATTATTATTATGAGGCCGGGCATGCATGAGAAATATTGACCTCAAAATATTTGAACTGAAACCAAATATTCTGGCCTCGTGTAACTTGTAACCTTCATTAATGCTAGCTTACAACAAAACGTGTGTGTGTATATATATATATATATAATGATGAATCACTGCATATGATATACATATATACATACATATATATACATATATATATATCATCAATTCATCATAATAATACGTAACCACTAAAGACTAAAGTTGTTCATTCATCACAAGCATCCTGAGAGAAATCACAGCCGTCAAAGAAATGCTAGCTATGCCTCTTCAAAAAGGTTCATCCACCATCACAATCGTTTACAGTCTACTTTAAATGAAAACGAGGAAAAGGGCGAATTAGTAATTACGACCTGGATAATACTTTTCTCATTTCTAATAAGGAAGAAAGTCCTCGACTCCTCGTTATTTTTTCTAACGTGGCATTATTTTGTTATTCAAATGTCTTATTTGAAATCGTTTATTATCTTTCTCAGACTTTTAAAGATCATCTTTTTTTTTTTTTTTAAATTAGTTCGATTTTGCAATCATTCAACCTACATATATGTACATGCAAATTGATGATTATTATAACAAATAGCATATTCTCAATAAACCGTATATCACGTTACAAGGAGATGATGAATTTCCTCCTTACTAATAAAAACAAGGGAAGCATTACCCTTATTAATTACTACAAGGTCATATATATTATAAATATTCTTTATAATGTTTTCCAAAACAACATTATATATCTATTTTTGTGCACATGACATTTCCATGGACATGAAGGGTTCTGGTTTGGCCTGTGAAAACTATTAAAATAGAGGAGGAAGAGAGGTTTGTCTGAAAGATTCGGCAGCACCCAACACCTACTCCATATGATGAATTATAAGTCAACTCCCAAGAGTACCTCGGTTATATTTTATGTTTTTTTATTTTTTTTTCAGTTTTGTTATTGCAATTGTTGATTTATTTTTCTTGCATGAAAACTCGTGATCCTGTTTATGCGGATCGATTTGCTTGAAGATGAGGATGTCTGTCGTTTTCTCATCTACCTAATTTAATAATAAGCAATCATCTATTCAGCATCATCATGTGTGTGTGTTGCAGAAAGAAAAATAGGAAGGAAAAAAAAATCAACAAAGACTCGCAAATTATTTTTGTATCGTTTTGACAAATGATCAAATAACTTACATGAACTTACAAATTTTAGTGCAGGTTGAAGCACATTGTTCTAATCAATTCGGCTAACCTAATGTGCTACAATAACTAATGTATACAACTCTTAACTTCTCTCAAGTCTCTCAATTTTATATTAAAACAATTCTAGTTATTTCTGTCCTTCAATTGACTAATTTTGATCCTCCTTGGCCTCTTCATATGCAATGGTCTATTTGTTTGGACCACATTTGAAAGATGACTTTCTATGCCTCTCACATATATCGCGAAGGCAATGTAGTTACGGACAATTTTGCTAATATGGGTTTGTCTTCTCCAACTTTAGTATGACATGTTTCTCCTCCAATGGTGGTTCATGCTGCTTTGTTTTCAGACCATGTTGCCCGGCTTCCACTTCTCAAATTAATGTGCATCTCGACATGCAGGTTTGACTCACTTCTTGTTTTTTTTCTTAACCTTATGATGTTGCTTGTTCTGTTTTGCAGGTTTAGACCTTTAGGTTCGGCTTTAGAGGAATTAGGTTTCATGCCCCCCCCCCCTTTTTTCTTTTTCTTGTATTTTTGTTGTTTTTGTTTCTAGAATGGTAAGGTTTATGTCCCCCCTTTCTTTTCATGTATCATTTTTATACTTTTTTCTTGTATTATGAGAGGTTAGGTTTATATCTCATCCTGAATAAGTGTACCCTTTTTTTTTTATATCAATAAAATTCCCTCATACCATCAAAGTTTTCTGAAAAAAAAAAATTTAGACAATTCAAAGTAATTGACTATGTAATGTTATTTAGACAGAAACTTAACTTAATTGTTGACACTTTCTAATATTGATAAGTCTCACATACCACAATCTATCTAATAAGAGAGCATTTTAGCAGGTAGTTAGTGTGTTTAAATAGCATTATTATTTTATATAGGTAAGAGTTGATTATTAAGAGTTTATCACGAACATTGTCCATGTTAGGGGCACTAAACTAATTAATCATATTTTAAGCACCTCATTTAGTATTCTATTGGTCGGAAAACACATTAATTATTATTACTCTTAATTATATACGCCACAATACCATCCCCAAATATCAAATATTGATATACGTATACGTACATTTACTGAGCTTATATGTGTGTGTGTGTGTGTGTGTGTGTGTGTGTCAATACTCACCAAGGTCAGGAGAAACTTTTTAATGTGCCCATAATACAACCCGGTAAACCAAATGTCATAATACAATTGGTTGAAAAGTGTTATTTTAAAGTTTTCAACCAAATGTAGAATTACATTTCTATATACCGGACCGAGTTCACGACAAACTGAAAAATCTGTCCAAGGTCATATGACTGTATACCACATATTCTTTAATCAATTAACTATGAGCATGTTGAGTATATTATAAAACAAGTGGTGTCACACAATACTATAATAACGTATGCATGCATCAAAAGGAATAACTTCGAACCTAATAATATTTTAAGTAATCTCAAATTATATTTAATCTCCCTTTCATTTCTGCCAATTTGTGAGGCCCGCGAAGGCGATATGTTACCCATCCTAACACATTATGTATCGTTTGATAGAAATGTGGGGTAACATTCCAAAGATTTTATCGTAAACAATATAATATTCCTAGTTACGTCAAGAGAAAGGAAAAAATTTAAATGTGGAGCGCTATAAGTTGAAGAAGAAGTTCGGATTCATTAGGATAATCCACTATTTTCTTAGTTACATCAAGAGAAAGGAAAAAGTTTAAATGCGAAACGTTTTAAGTTGAAGAAGAAGTTCAGTTCCACCAAGACAATTCACCATTTGCATAGCTCGAATTTTCAAGAGCGTCTATCTTTTCAACCAGTTACCAAATTCATGCCCTTCACATTTCTTTCGTCAATATTGCTTGTAGGGTTGGTAGTGAAGTTTGAATACAAAAATAGACGGGAAACTCAGGAATTACAAGCATATTAGTAATGCTTTGGCTCCCTGAATTGCAACATTAAGATTGGACGGAAAATATAGGATAGGAAATAGGAAGAAAAAAGATGTAACGATCGATATATATTCAATATTCAGAGGACTTTGGTAATAATTCTTCAAATAAAGTCAACTATAAGCACCCAACATATAGTAGCATATATACATGCCCATTTTTCCTAGTGAGACTACCACACTACGACGGAGCCATCACCGTCACTCCGGAAGAAAACTATCAGAAAAGAAAAATCCGAGATTCTACGATGGAACTGCGAAGCAAAAGCTAAAAAGCCAGTCTTATAGTACGTTGTTGTTGCAATGACAACAACAAAAATCCAACTAGCTTGTTAAATTATGAGAACATAATCTAAGAATCTCGCTAATTAACTAACTAGGGCAACCGCATAAAAACCAAGGAACAAACAGCCAAATAAGAAAACACACTAAAACATGAAGACTGCAGGCACTCATGCTGTCATACGGGTGAACTGTCGAATTAGTTCTTGAATTATCATATTAGTGGAAATTACGTCCCTAAAATTATTCTTTCGGTAAAATAAGTCTCTAAATTCATTAAAAACTGCTAATTTCATCCTTAAAATAATACTCAAAGCTATTTTATCCAATTTTTCGTTAATTTAAGTCACATGACACATTTTAGAGGATATTGCCAGCATTTTCTTCCCTAAAAGCCCATAATGTTGCATATAGGTTGTGAATCTAACGACTGATCTATCCTCTAAAGTTAACTCCATACACTATTTATTCGAAGAAATAAGTCCTTAGACAATGAAAAACTACTTATCTACTCTCTAAAATGGATCACATGCAAGTCACGTGACTTAAATTGACGAATTAATATTGGACAAAATAGCTTTGAATCTAATATTAGGGATGTAATTGACAGATTTTATTAGTTTAGAGACTGATTTTTCCAAAAAAAAAAAAATAGTCCAAGGATCTAATTTTCACTGAGCTGATAATTTAGAGACTAAATAAGTAGTTCACCGTATAATTCAGAGATTAAATAGGTAGTTCACCGTATATATATGTCTCACTCTTAAGTCTTAAGATGTTCACTTGTGAACTCGTGCAAGAGCAGACCATTTGCAGTATCCACTTATTAGTAAGCACTTCCAAAGAGCATTCCCATTCGTAATTAACAAAACCCATATATATCGATCAAAAAACTAAGGGCACTAGTTCATAAGCACTTCCAAAGAACCTCAAATTGTTTCACAAAGCCTAAACCCCAAACCAGAACATGCATGTATTGCTTATTATCTATACAGTCAGATTATATTGCTTATAACCTCTAGGCGGCCGTATTTCGTAGGGACAACAACCCCAGCAGCTCCTACGGAGCTTCCAAATGACTGAAGGGACTTCGGTAATGAAAAGTTATAGTACTTGTAACGATGTCTGAACTAAGATTCTAAGAAAATGAGCAGGGCTGTCAATCCGAAAGGAGGAAAAAAATACCTCAGGTACCTCAAACGACTTGCTCTTTATGTCGCCCTCAAGTTTAGCCGAACATCAAGTATCACAGGTAAAAAACAAATTCCCAGATTCTATGACGGAGCTGAGATGCTGAAGCGAAAGCCAGTCTTCCCACAGTCATGCTCAAATTGCTTCAGTATATAGTAGTAGTTGCACTGACAACAAAAGAACGAGCTTGTTAAACCCTGAGATCATAGGGATCTTGCTAACCAGGCAACCAAATAGAAAGTATGAACCAAACACATATACGAACTCGGGCAGAACAACAGATACACACAAAAGAAAACAGGCATGCATCACATGTATACCCTACAGAGGAGTTTAACTGATGAGACTTGTACAAGAACAGATTATTTACAAAATCCATTTAAACATAACCATTTTCCAAAGATTTCAGAAGCCTTCTTGAATCGAAATTACCATGTCATAAAATTAGATTGTTTTCCCAGACCAGCAGCAACCCAGTATATAAGCAGACAAGACCATGAAAAAAAACCCTTTTGAAGAAAGAGGATCCTTATGCCCATTACTGCATGCAATCTATCTTCATATAATACATATCACGGATGCAAGAATTATATGTACCATGAATTTCCTTTCTTAAATTTTTACGTCAAAATCAGATTAAAATAGCTAACCTCTAGGCGGAAGAATTTGGTAGGGACAACAATCCCTGCTCCCACAGAACTTCGAAATGACTGAAGGAACTTCGGGGCAGAAAAGTTTTGGAACTCATTCTCCGTCAATTTTGCCAGATTCCCCGCACCTGCGAAAATATGACCGTGCACTCCATGTTCTTTTAACCAGCGAAGTGGAAGATCGAATGAAATGTCTGCAAATGCAGAAACAGCAAGATCTCCTCCAATAGAATCTCTTCCAGGAAATTCGGAATTCTCCTCATTAGAATTATCTCCAACATGCCTTCTTGGTTCAGTGGGGCCTAGTCCCCTTGTCTTGAATCCCCACACTATCGTAGGGCCCCCCACAGAGCAAACTGGAGAGAAATCACCACCCAGGAAGAACCGTTCTGGAAGGGATGAGGGCTTGTTCAAGAATCCACACCCCCATGGAAAAATAACTCCAGCGGAGATCCCAAAATTAAGTGCAGCATGATAAAATCCTAATGGAACTCCATAACGAATATCAAACTCCTGCAGCATACAGTAAGAGAAGAAAGTTAGTAAGTTTAATAGCTAATAGGTCTAGAGAATAAGTGGAAAGGGGGTAAAAATCGATCCTTAATTTGGTTCTTAACAAAACCCATATTTAGCCATAAACATAGATCAACTGATTTAAGCAAAAGGCCACAAATCCAATAAGAAGTTGCCACTTTTTACTACCTTGAATCAGGCAACAAGATAACAATGCACACAATTTACTACAGGACAAAGAAAGCTTCATAACAGACTTTCAGATTTTGAAAATCACTAATTAGCAAACAATCATATTGGTTTTGTTAATTTCCAAATAAAAAGATAAAACAGGGTAGAGAAAAGAATGGTCTTGTTGTTTTTCTTTCATGTTCCTCTTCTAATTATGCGTAGTCAAGAGGGTCAGTAATATGCAAGAAAATGAACAGGTTGTATCCAAGATGGCCTACTAGAAAAAAGCAGTCATGGTTATTATTCAAGAATATGAAATAGAAGAACCGTTCCAGATCAGAAATATTAGAAACATCTCATTATGCAATGACAATCCTGGGAAACGTTCTATCATTAGTAATCTAAACATGAAATTATGATTAAAACATTTATAGATCTCTTAAGCAGGTGGGTATACGAATGACAATCAAAAGCATTTAACATGAAAGACATATATACATAAATTTTTTTTTTTTTCCCTTTTCCTTTCATCAGTTCGGCTTAAAAAGAAACTAAATAAAGAAGAGAACCAAAATAAAGAAGAGAATGTGTACTAAACCTGACGCAAAAACCTTGTGCTTCGATGATCAGGTGCAATGCCACCAATATGACTCGTAGAAACAAATGAGTAACCTCGAGTTGGCCTCAAAGGTGAATTTCTCCTATCAATCTTAAATGTGTATTTGATTGAAGAAAGTAATCCATGGCCGAGCTGCCTTCTTATTGACCTCGAGGCCAATTGTGATGGGTCTGCTAGCGTTCGCCAACCCAGGTTGTATGCCAAATCATGGTGTTTTGATGAAATCAGTCCAAGAGAAAGCCCCATCATGCGCTCTTTATAAGAAGAGAACTCCATCCAATCTTGGGAAAGCAGGAATGCTCGTGCCGTCACTGGAGTTACAAACCCTTTGAACCTGGGCATAAACAGGCCAGCACTTAACTCCGAGGTTTGGTTGGGCCCATACGCCAAAGAACCATCCCACAAATCCCCATATCCAAGCAGATTTTTGAACTTAAGTGTTCCTTCAGCAGTCCATGACCTAGCCTACAAAAACATTACACGTAAGACATGACGGATACCATGCTTATGCATCTGTTCACAATTAAGGAACAAGAGAACACAACATATTAGGCATTTTAGCTCCCACATTTGCATTCATCACTTAACCACGCCTCCTAGTTTCATAATATCATGATCCTTCGGACCGAAACAAACTGGCAGCAGGAGATATGGATAGGTTTTACCAGTATATTGGTATCGATGTGGGATTTAAAATTTACAACACATGCCATCTATTTCACGCCCATATGTGCAAGTAATTGATATAATCCAGATTTCCATTTTCTCCAATTTCTCAGAAACCAAACAGTCTGTAGTTATTCTACGTACTAAACCCTAATCTCACCAATTCAGCAAACCAAACCAATATATACAAATACACGAAACTTATAGTAACAGAGAATGTACCGCCGGCTTCGTGTAAGCACCGATTTCGCCAGAAATTGGACTCTTAGTTTCGACGACCTCCACAATAACATTCGTAGTTCCAGGCAGCTCCGGCGGGCCAGAATCGAGCGTGATCCGAACCGCGTCGAATATTTCAAGCTTCTGAAGCTTCGCATTTGCAATTGCCGCGGCCTCGAGCAGCTCTTGCATGGTGGTGGCCTTCTTAATCTCCGCCAGCTCGGCCTCGATCAAATGCTCCTTCGTCTTCGTATTGCCCTTGATCAGAACGTCGTGGACCCTCAGATCGACTCGCTCGGTCGACATCCGACGGACCAGGTTCTCTAGCTTGGACTTCTCCGCGCGCAACCGCGCCTCCTGGGAGAGGGGATTTCGTGGCAGAGGTGGCTCCTCCTCCTCGTCTTCGTCTTCTTCTTCGTCCATTTCGTCATCGATTTCGTCGGGTTCGGGCTCGTCGTCGACAGTGCCGTTGACATTGGAGGGAGTTTGCTCGTCGCGGTCGTCGTTAGCGTTTTGAGTTTCATCGTCGGATTTTTCCATGGGAGAGAGATTATGGAAGGTGGAGGGCGGCGGTTTGGGAAAAGAGGTACAACGAGCGACGGCGGTGATGAATTTTGAAGGCCACTCAGCAGTGACTTGCTGCAGTGGGTGTGATTGTGTGAGGCTGCTCTCTTTCTGTTGGGCTTTCGCGGGTCGGGTTTTTTTTTTTTTTTTGACGTTTTATTTTATTTTTCTAAGGATAAATTTAAAGTGTATATTTCATTTTCCATCTACGATAATACAGTCTAATGGTAACTATTTAGACGGACATACCATCTAATGATATTTTTAATCACTTATGAATGAGAAACTTGAGGGCTTGATGTGTTTTCTATAAAATTATAATTGTCATGAGGTCCTTTTTTCTTAATTTACCAAATCAAATATTTGGCATGTTATAAAAGCAAGTCAAACTCATAATATAATACATTCAACGTTTAAAATCCGCGAGTAATTTGTATATTATCTTAACTGAGTTTCATTATCTTATATTATTTGTCATGATCATAAGTAATATTTTTTTACTTATTAATACTATGTCATATGGCGATGAAATATTAACTTTACCGTCCACTTATATTACAAGATGTGAATAGTGTCACCGTCATGCTCTAAAATATCTGTCACAGAATCCAACTCTATACTTTACCCCAAAAAAAAAAGTTCAACTCCATTTAAATAGGAGTTGCGCGGTATGGGCTCCTTCCTCATTTCGAAAATTCAAATAAAACCTCCCTCCCCCTCCTCCACCTCCACCACCATTACCACCATGTCCAACAACGATCTTCTCACCTCCTTAATCTCCGACATCAAAACCTACTCCGGCAAAGACCCTCTTCTTCCATGGCTAAGGTACCCTCTCGCCACTTCCATCTCTTCCTCTCTCTATCAGTTACCGTTTCATTGTTTAACCCATTTGATTTCACAATGTGGTCGCAGAGGGATTCGAAAAATGAACGACTCACTCCCACCTCGCACTCTGAAGGAGAAGCTCCCTCGCTTCTTGCAGAAATGCGCGCAGACATTCGAGTCCGATCGGCGATACCGAAATGACCTGCGCTACATTAGAGTTTGGTTAAAGTTGGTAACTTTTCTACCCCTTTCTTTGTGATTGCGAGTTTCTTCTGGGTATTTTGGATTTTGATTGATTCATAGCTACTGATTGGTTGCTGAGAAAATTGAGGGAAATATATGAAATGGGTTCGATTCGGTTTTTCCTATTCTTGATCTTTGTTTTGTGGAGTAGATGGATTTTGTCGATGATCCAAGAGCTCTGTTGAGAACAATGGAGGCGAATCAAATCGGGACAAAGCACTCCTTGTTCTACCAGGCATATGCTCTCGACTATGAAAAGAACAAGAAATTTGAGGAGGCTGAGAAGATGTACCACTTGGGAGTGCAAAAGTAAGTCCTCAGCATTTTCCTTTTCTAATTGAATCTATCATGATGCTCTCAATTTCTGGAGGAAGTAAAATTATACCTGATTGGTTTCTGTTTCGTAGCGTTGGATATGTTGTTTAGCTAATTTGTAGCTTAGATGCCAATTTGGAATCCAAATTTGTAGTATACGTCTCGAATTCGAGCAATAATGACTGTAATATGAATGTTTCTTCTGTGTATGTACATTTCTGACTTGAACCGCTGCTACATGACATCTTATTAACTGCTGAACAGCCTTGCAGAGCCCATTGGAGCGTTAGAGAAGTCGTACAAACAGTTCCTTCAACGCATGGAGAGACACAGGAGACACAGAAACCAGGTAGTTTATTAATCTTATTTGGGTGTAGAGGGATTGTAGTTTGTGTTGTTAGCACTCCTTTTAACCGTAGAAAATTGTTATGCATTGCCAGGAAAAGAGGACCGTGAAAAGGCCTCTGTCGGATCGGACTATCCCTCCAAATGGAGAAAGAAACAAAGAAAATGCCTGCAAAATCGGGGCCAGGCCTATAGAATCCCAACATGATCAGTCTAGAAGTAAGCGTCAAGTGACTTCTGGAAGAGGGTCAGAGGAACCGAAGATGTTTGCCGGCGATGATACAGTTGTGGTGAAGTTTGTAGACACTGCCATTGTTGGAAAGTCTGAAGCGGAAGATGCGTGTCATCATGGATTGGTGGATCCTACTGTAAACATGAAAGAGGCCATGAGCGCCATCAACGACATGTTTCGAGAGCCTATAGAGACGGCTCCCATTAGCAGAAGATCTCACCAATCCCAACCGAAGAACAATAATGTGGACAGTGGATTCCAGGTATTTGTTGATGACGACTTGGATAATGGAGGGAAATCAGAAAATAATAAGGAAGGATTGAGTAGAACCGCTACCCACCAGTCTCACCAAGAACCTTTAAACATTTTCATTGATGATGCTAACGATAGCCCTGATCAGAGTGACGTCCAAAATGCGGCTGCTGATTCTACCTCACCAGCTTCACATAGAAATGTGTTTGTGTTTCCAAATCCGAAGGATCTTCCAGGTGAAGGTTCCAGTGATTTGGATGTTGGAGGCTCATCTCGACCGAGGTTCAGGGAGGATACAATGGTTTGTAGGTTTGTTGGGGCCACCATTTCGGATGAGCCAGAGGGCTGGTTTGGTATTGCTGTGCTTTGAAAAAAAGCTGCTGTGAGAATAAGTGGCTGTGCTGTGAGAATAAGCGGCTGTGAAATAAAGCCAGCAAAGTGTTTGGTAAATTTTTTTGTAAAAGTGCTTTTGGAAACAAAAAGCAGTATCATAGTGTTTGGTAAACTTTTTTGTAAAACAGCTGTGACTGTGTGAAATGACCAAAAAGGGTATATTACTAGATGTGCTATTAATTTAATTTTCTTAACAAATAAAAGTGAATTACTTTAAATATATTTTATTTTTAGAAGAAAAATATTTATAAACTTTATCTTAAATATTAATTAGTATGACAAACTACTTTAATAGAAATATTTTAGAGTGAATAGTTAGGATTCATTAGTACAATATTGTTAATGTACTTGAAAGTAGTTTAATTAGATGCATTCATCAAACTTGTTGCTATTCTATTTCTTAATGCCTCTATCTCATTTGATCCTTCAACTTGATAATTTTGATATTCATCATCATCATCATCACTACTATCGCTTTCTTCACAAAAGTCCCTGGGGTCATCAAAATGACGATCACGTTCAGAATACCTCCGTATGTAGTTATGAAGAGCCATTGTAGCAATGACAATCTTCACTTGCTTATTGAACGGGTAATTAGGCATATCCCTTAAAATTGCCTATCTTTTCTTCCATACCCCAAAAGTTCGTTCAATGATAGTCAGGTTACATGTGGATGTACGTTTATGGCAGGTTTTAGGATAGTCAGGTGATACCAGGCTTGAAGTTAAAAGGTGTCACTTCATTAACACTTCATGATGTTTATTTTGTTTTTGCAACATTTCGAAGTTAGAGAAATTATACCACCATTCCATGAATCTTTTAATTTTCTTCTACACAACAACAGAGTCAAATCGTCACACCGACCTCTCTGCTTGAGCATCATGTGACACACACTTGTTTTTTCGTTGCTAGCCTAGGAAAGCAGAAGGGAAAATATATATGTTAAACCTTTTGAAGTGATTGTGACACACACTTGAGCATCATGTAACCTACCATTTGAGCATCATGTAAATTTTTCTGGAGTCACCATGAACTTTAATTGCCTTCTAACTTTTGATCCTCGTTCAAATAGTTATTAGGCCTTTATGGGCCACTGGATTTCATTTTGATTAATGTTTGTCAAATGTTATAAGAATTACAACGTTCTATATGTAAAGGACGACATGCTCCCTAAAATTTATGTTTATTTCTATCTCAAATGCTCCTTTGAGTAGTTAGACAAGTTAATAATCATTCATAGATAACGTTCTATATGTCCTTGCAAGTATTTTCTTACTTTTGCATTTGGGTTGAGAGAGAGAGAGAGAGCTTAGTTTGAAGTTCTTTTAGGCCTGCTAGCCAATTAACATGATCACTTTTGTTTCACATACAGTATAGAAGTTAACAGTTGTAGGTTGCATGCAGCGCACAACTGATTACAAGATCCATTTGTATCCTTTATGTCTTGCTCTGTGGGTGGAAAAGAACATACTAATGTGGTACATAATTTGACAAAAAATTGACACATATACATACACATAAATATATATACAGTTTGATACAACTTAGCTTCGGTGCAGTTTGTAATATATATACAGTTTGATACAACTAGCTTCGGTGCAGTTTGTAATATATATACAGTTTGATACATATACATACAAGTCCAAAAACCTCAAGGGAAAATAATCCTCCAAATTAAACCCTTAAATCAAGTCGTACCCTTCTTGAACTAGCAACATTAGCGTTCGATTGGTGCTAACCTCCTTCTCTGAACCTAAATAATTAGTGGCAAATACACTCTGGATTATGTTATCTAAAGAACCCTTCTGCAATATTGCTTTCAATCCCACAACCCTATTTTCCTTCATCTCATCCCAAATTATCACAGTTTGGGTTCACAGTTTGCAATACAAGAGATTACAGTTTGTAATACATATACATACATATACATACATATACATACAAAAGATTACAAGCAGGTTTACTTATCACCAGAACAGAAGAAACTTTACATACATATACATACATATACATACAAAAGATTACAAGCAGCTTTACATACATATACATACATATACAGAACAGAAGAAACTTTACTTATCACCAGGCCTTTATAACCAGTCAATCATTGGACATAAAAACAACGCTACCTAACACAATTGTTGTTTCTCAAGCAGCTTAAAGACATTTTCCTGAAATAGAAAAAGATAAATTTTGGCAAAAACCAATCAAACACAGACAGAAGTAGCATTACCCATGTATCTCCCCTTCACAGGTTTTCTAAATAATGAAGAAAGAATCTGATCTCATTTCTAAGAAAACCCTCTTTGTTAAATCAAATGTCTTGAAGCACAACTGTGAAATTGAGGCAAACTATGACAGTGGAACCGCAAATCCAATTTACATTTTCCCCAATGATTGAGAGCATGTAGCCAACAAAGTTGAGGGAATTATAAGTATAACCAAAAGAGAATTACAAAAGTGACCTGAACTGTAAAATTCACCAAAAATAGCTCGTGCAACCAAAACACGTGATAATCACATAAACCTAAGAAGTTCTTGTTCCCTTTTCTATTTATTTCCTCTTTCTGTTTCCAATAAACAAAGGACAAAAGCTGTTTCAAATTCTTCTTCTGGATTTGTTTTGATATCTTCCCAGTCGACTCAATTTGTGTCATTAGTGAAAGGGAAAATACAATGGCATCATGTAAAAAAAAAAATTAACCTTTCCAGCAAAAACCAAAGAGAGTAATAATAAAATTTATTATAACTTGTGCTATTATATTATATCAATGAAAACAAACCAGAATTTTGGAGAATATAAACCCTCTGACTTCTTGGCTGCGATCTTCAATCCTGCGATCTTCTAATGTGTCACCTGCAACATAAACCCGGAACTTCTGAGGAATATTTTGACCCAAAAAACACATGACAAATCAGAAGCACATGACAAATCAGAAGCACAGTTCACAGATTAGAAGCAGAGCAAAGCAAATTATCCCTGACATATACCCAAATCAGAAGCAGACCTTCTTCAAAAAAACGAATACAGAAGTAATCAAACTTCTCTCTCAATTTTTTTTTTTGTTTCCTCCACAAACCCTAATTTTTTCCCCAATTAATTTTTTCCCAATTAATTTTTTCCACAAACCATATCACCTTCCCCAATTAATTTTTCCCCACCCTCCATCCCCAATTGTTTTTCCCGACACCCATACCCTAATCCCTTTGCTCTTCCCACCCCTCTTTCCCTAATCTCCCCATCCCTAATTTGAAAAATCCAAACAAAGAAATGAGAAGCTTACCTGGAGAACGAGAGAACGAGTTCGCTGGTTTTTGGAACGACGGAACGAGAGAACGAGAGAACGAGAGAGAGCCTAAGGTTCGGGTTATGCGAGAGAGTCCTGAGGTGAAGGGCGTGCGAGAGTTTTCTGGAAGAAAGGTGAGAGCGTCGGTGAAGGGAAAGCGCGAGGGCATTTTTGGGTTATGGTATATTTCATTAAACTGGGTACTGTTCACCCGTGTGTGGGTGAAAATAAGCTGCTTTTGGACTACAAATTGCAGCTTCTTGTCATCTCTTGGTTTTGGGCTTTTTTTCACCCTCAACTTTGAAACAAAGCTGCTTTTCAAAGTTTACCAAACACCAAAAATTTTCATAGCTTTTTTTCATAGTAGCTTTTTTTTTAAGCACCTCAATCCCAAACAGGCCCAGAGGAGGTCGAAAATGCTTGCCACCATGGTTTAGTCGACCCAACAATAAACTTAAAGGAGGCCATGGATGATATCAATAACATGTTCGGGAAGCCTATGGATTTTGTAAGAAAGAGGAGAGTGAAGAAGCAGGACAGAGGAATTGATAGGAAAGAAGATTTTGGTGGGTTTTCTATACTTCCTGATGATAACTTGGACCAGAAGCAAGAGAAGAAAATGCCAGATTTGTCCGGAAGATCAAGAGGTTCGGATTTGTTCGAGGCCACTGTAACAACAAAGGAGGCCATGGATGAGATCAATAAGATGTTTGGAATGCCCCTGGACTTCTGGGAACAATTTAATGGCGGGGTATGTGTGTGCGCGCGGGAGTTTTTCGGATTTGTTGTGGAATGAAATGAGTTGTGTTCTTTCCCCATTCATCCCTTGTACTTAAAAGTTTCCAATTTTAGTTTGAGCCGAATTGTGCCTACAATCTCATACACCTTGTCCCCTATTTTCTACCTAAGCCAAAGAACAAGAACTTTCGAGCACCTGGGGAACCTGGGATGACAGAATCCTAAGGCAATCACGCGCTGTCATGTTTTTTAATTATCCCGCATCCAAGGTGCAGGAGAAATTGGTTAGTATCTCTTCGAAAGAAGGGATCAAACAAGTAAATGAAACATGTCAATTCATCACTTTGCAGTACAAAACCAGTTTATTCAAGAAGCAATACAACTTCCGAGACACAATAACATTTAGAACACAAAAATCAAACAATAGAAAAAGAAGAAAAAAAAGTAACAAAGGTTAACTTTAGGAGGAAAATTAATCAGCGAAAACCCGGTGTTCTGAATCAAGAGTGAGTAGTAGGGCAGTTAGAGGGACGGAAAGCCAGGGGCCCTGCAGCATAAACAACAGCCTCATAGTTCCTCCCCCACAACCTCTTGTCCTCGTAACGAAGCGGGGCACCATACAGCCCGTAATTCACATTGCTGAGCTCACTGCACTTTTCCAGAGGAGAAGAAACAAGCTTCACTTTGCATCCATGGAGAGGATGGTCCAAAAGATGTTGTCCAATTTTGAAGCCATCAAGCTGTGCATAGAAGTAGCCCTTGACGTCCGTCACGAAAGACTTGTAGAAGCTGACCTGGCCCTTGTGGTCCTTGCAGATGACGCTGATTTTCGCCGACGGAATGGGCTCAGCCTCGGTCAAGGACCATGTTCCATAGTGGTCACAGCTCTGGCAATACACCACGCCTTCCACCACCACATGGTCCGGTTGCTCGGGGGTTTTCGGGGAGTAGTCATTGGCGGTTGCGGATGGGAGGGAGAGGGATATGAGGAGGGAGGAGATGAGGATTAGAACACTCCTGCTTGCCATTTCTTGGGGGTTAGGGAAAGGATTGTAGGAGCTTATTTTGAAAGTGGTTAGCAGAAAAGCTGGGTTGAGGGACGAGCGATTGGATGGGGTGGTATTTATAAGGTTATTGGATTGTTTGGCGACACAGTCTAATGTTGTCGGACGTGGGAGCTACTAAGTTGCATGTCAACTACCACTACGCGAAGGCCACTGGCATATGCCTAATCAAAATCTTCCCAGTATCTCTATGCTTTCTTATATATATTGATATTGAACTTGGATGCGATGCAAGAGGGTGGACACATTCCCGTAATTAACTGACCTAACTCACATCAGTGAATTATATTTTTTTATTAAAATTTTAATACTAGTTATGTTTGCATATCATATCGACTAATTTGATTTCTGATTTATGATCATTCTGGCTAATTTAAACCAAAGCATCCTAGTTGAAAAGTCAAAACAATTTTGGCTAATTTGATTTCTAATTTATGATCGTCGAATACAACACCATTTGGTGGTTTGATTCCTCGCATTAGCAAACCGCACAATGGTGGCTAGAAAGGTTGAAATGCCTCTGTGAGTCTTCCTAACCCCTGAAAAGATGAGCTACTAAAGTGAAACCACTAACTGGTCCCTTTTTCAAAGGAGACGTCTTTAATCTAATTTCTTTTAAGATTCCTAAATTCTTAAGTCTTTCTTTTTTCGCACTTGCAAGTCTTCGAATGTTGAGAGAATGAATTTCACGTTGGAAAATTAAAAACCTTGCATGCATCATGTTTGAGACCTTCAATCCAATCCGCTCAACCAATTGAGGGATAATATGTTTCCAAAATTCATGTTTTGGCCCAAGAAAGTTGCTCCTCTCTCATTGAAGTTCATCCTACATGAATGAACAAACTGATTGACAGGTTGATTTACTGTTGTGTTTTACTTTTACAGTTTTACTGCTGAACAAAAGGATTATGTTTTCCACCCTATCTCAGGTTATATACAAGTAGAATTCTATCCCCCTGCTGTAAATACAAGCACATTTTTTTGTGCCTCGCCACCCACGGAAGATGAAGACTTACACATGGTTCGTAGAGACAAATCTTGGCGTTCATCTTCTAGCTTCCATCATGAGACATAACTTCAAGCTCCGCCCACCAAAGAGGTGAGAGTTTCGGTGATGCCCCGTCGGGTGTAACTCCGGTAATTTCTCTCAGTCTTGCAGTGACTTCTCTCATTGGAGGTCTTTGTTTTGGGTCAGGGCGGACACAAGATCTTATAACTTCCCCGATTTGCTCCAGTTGCTCTTCGTGGAAAGACTCTAGTATCGGATCAACCATTTCTCTGAGGGGCTGATCGCCTCTCAAGTAATCCGCACCCCAGTCTTCAAGTGAGACATTATCCACTGCATAAGGGAGTCTGCCAGTTACCATTTCGAACAATATGACACCAAAGCTGTAGACATTGCTTTCTCTGTTTGCTAATGGTATGGAAAAAAGTTCTATGCTGGATAATTCTTTTTCAGCTTCAGCTGTCTCGTTCGAGAAGCTAAATTCTGAGACTTTTGGTGCATAATCCTCTGTTAGCTGGATGGATCCTGAATTCAAGTTGTTGTGAGCTATAGGCGGGTTAAGCTGGTGCATATACTCGAGGCAGTAGGCCATGCCCATTGCGATTCTCAGTCGCATTCTCCAGTCCAAGTGCTCAGCTTCTTTTACTGCAGTTTTCACTAGCATTAGATATCACATGTATAATTAGCACAAACACACACATTTGAGAGAAGGTAGCTATATACTCACTGTGTAAATGCTCAAAAAGTGTCCCATTCGGAGCGTATTCAAAAACCATCATTCTAGTGAAAGGTTCCTCTTCCTCGCAGTACCCGATAAGGCTGACAAAGTTCTTGTGGCTCAGTTTTGATAATTTTTCAATCTGAAACCATAGCCATTGGAACAATTAGGCCCACTCTGCCAGAACAGATTAAGCAAGCATATAAATTTACAGCTTTTGTTTGTTTCATACCTTCTTCCTAAACTGCAACTCTAAATTGGTGGTCCAACAGTAATTGGCAGACGGCTCTACAAGGGAAGCCACGGCGATTTCGACACCACTAGACAATGTTCCTTTGTACACTGTACCAATCGGTGAAGAACCTATTACATTACTGAAATCTTCACATGCCACTTCAAGCTCTGATCTCTTAAGATTTGGTACACCTGCAATCAAAATTCCCTATCATGATTAATCAAGAGAGACACAAAACTTGCAACACGCACAATGTGTCTAACTGATGGCAGAGATCATCTTTTTCTGTTGTCAAATAAGCCTTACCGGTTACGAAGGCTTTCTGTAGCTGTCCGCTTAACCCTGTGGCCCAAGGCTTGACAGTAGCTACCTTGTTGGTCTTGTAGAGATACAAAAGGATGAATGAAATTATAACAAAACAAGCACCACCACCTATGCCTCCAATTAATATTGGGGTTTTATGCTTCGATATGAAACTTTTGGAATTTCCTGAGATGGCAGGCACCGGAGCAGAAAGTGAAGGTGGAGAAGCAGATGGGGTAGGTGCGGAAGGTGGACTTGAGTTGTTTGATGGTGGGGAAGGTGCTGGAGTATGTGGTGATGAGACTGAATGAGAATGTTCTGCAACTTTTGGCGATGGTGATGTGTTGGATTCCCGTCGTAAAAAACTACTAAAATTTATAGAAAGCATTCTCCCATGAACAAAGTGTTCAGTATGAGCGAGGTTCCTAGCAAAGAAAACAACACTAAAGTAAGAGGCATATAATTGACACTAGAATATGCACGACAGTAGGTAATAAGACTCATTTTCCTAGATCATTAGTCCTGCAAAGCCTCAATTGTAATCACATACCATGAATTAGATCTTTCATTGCAAGATGCTTCTCTGCCTGCACCAGAAAGCTGATTCTCATCAACTTGAAATTCGGAAAGCAACCCCAGATAGTAAATTTCAGGAGATAAGGTGCCAAGAAGCCGGTTGTTGTCAAGTAGGCTGCAATGTGAGCAGAAAACTGAGTTACTGTACATACGTCGAAAAAATGATTAAGAAAAGAATTCAATTGTTTGACAGATCACCCTACAGGATTGCCAATGAAAAATTACTGCCAAGGTCAGCTGGAAGCAGTCCACTGAAGTTATTGTATCCTAAATCTAACACTTCCAATTCCTTCAACCCGCCGATCTCTCCAGGAATGATCCCCGTGAAGGAGTTGTTGCGCAAAATACTGAAGAAAAATTTCACTTTATCAGGATTCACCAGAGAGAGCTCAAAGAAATTTACCATTAATCATTACAGATCAAAGCAACAATACAAAAACGCTTACATAGACTTTATGTGGACAAGTTTCCCGAGCTCAGGTGATAACGTTCCTCCAAGACAAAGATCTTTCAAGTTCCTGCACATCATATTACATCTAACTTTAGAATCAGTTGGGCAAAATCAGCAAATTGAAATCACCTATTAAGTACAATGAATCATAGCTTGAAAAAAAATGAAGTCCTCAAGTCTTTGAGTTCCCGGTTTTGACTTTCTTTCAGAGAATTCACGGGGCAATAAAACTAAGAGTAAAGCTATAACTAGTACTCCATAATCATGAATTATATCGCCCGACGATCATATTAGGCCCCTTCGACACCTATAGACATGCTGTTCTAAAACCTCATAAGATAATATTGATTACTTGGCACTAAAAGTTTCAATTACTAGCAAAATTCATCGGTAAATCAAAACCGAGAACGTTGTTCAACTGGTTAAGAGCAACCCCCCCCCCCCCCCCCAACACACACAAAGTATAAATTGTACAAGAAGAAACGACACTATTTCTTTTCGAACTTCGGTTATGTCCTTGAATCAAAAGGCAAAAGTAAAGACTTTTGAGCTTTCCAGTCTTCAAATTAATATCTTCTTAACTAATTAAGCTCCTCAATAACTTGAATTAGTAGATTGTATAGAAAGAAAAGCAAGAAAGAAAGAAAGAAAAGAGAAAAAAGTACTCACAAAACCACAACTTTTCCATCCGAGCATTGGACCCCGAACCACGAGCAGGGATCAACCTCTCCATCCTCATCGTTCCAGTTCGCCAAAGCACCAAAAGGGTCGCTCTCTACTCTCTCTCTAAAACTCAAAAGCGCCAAACCTGCACAAGAAAAACAACCATCTTTAGTTTCAATTTTCCTTCACTGTCTCGGGACACAAACAGTAACCAGCAGCTCAAATCAATCCCATACCTTCATCATTCAAACCCCAGCAAAAACCCAGATTCTGAATCAGCAAGCAGACCACCACCACACCCAGCAACCCCAACCGGTCCTTCAACATGCTGAACTTCCACTTCTTGATCATTTTTGTCACTATCAACGAAAACCCAGCAAAAAACAGAGCAAACCCAGCAGAGTCTTGAAAGCAAAATCCGAGTTAACCCAGAGAAAACCCAGCTGGGAAGTTTGAATTGAGTTGAAAAGGCAGATGAGTAAAGACCAAAAAACGTGTTCTAAGAACTTGCAGACTAATTTAGACCCACGGAAGGTGTTTGAAAAGAAAAACGCGTACACTGCAAATACTAATCCATGTGTTTGATTAGTATAATCAAAATTAATAACCCAACTAATATAATCTTGGAGGGAGAGATGAAAGTAATAATCTTTTTGGAAAGAGAAAATTGAAATAATAGTCGTTTAACTTTAATCTAATTGGAGTAATGATCTCACAACTAAAAAATTTCGACTATTTGTCTATTTACTCATCAAAACGTGCCGTCATGGTTATTTTCGTAAACTTCATTAGAATTCTGTGAAAATGAATTATGTTGCAAGGACCTTTAAAGTTGAGAGATCATTGCTCCTATTGATTTAAAATTGAGAAACCATTGCTACATTTTTTTTCATCCAGTTTTTCATATTTGCCCCTCGACTCAGCCTTATACGTGTGACACGTGATTCATTTCGACGAAAATTTTAACGGAGTTTAAGAAAATGATCATAGTTACACATTTTGATAAATCAAGAAATTTTCGTAGAGTGATCATTACTTTAATTGAATTGAAATTGAAAGACTGTTACTATAATTTTCTCTGAAGAAAAATTAAATTAGCAAATTCATTTTTTTGGTAAACAATTAAATTTGCAATTAAGCGTGCGAATGGGTCCAAAGGGTTGGCAGCAGTGTGAGGGAGGACTGTGGGCTTGGAAATGGAAAGGTTGAGACTTGGGCGTAGAGCGACGCGCGCTATTGGATTTTAGTCAAACAGCCGGCAAAGACTTTTGGCATATGAACATGGACAAATGTACAAAAAACACATCACCAATAATTAAATATATTAAATGAAACTAATAGAGACAATTTTCTTTCCAGTGTAATAGTGACATTGTGACCGTGTCATTTTGTACTATTAATCTGAGAGAACTTCATATTATGTCTTTGGCTAGCTAATATCGACATGTTATCGACTACTGATATGTCATTTTATATAAACATTGATACCATATGTGTTTTAGTTATACGTGAAATATTCAAAATTGAATGAATGATTTTTTATTTCGAGTGGATTAGAAAAGAACATGATGTAAAAGAAACATATTCCTTCTAATTTCATTATTTTGGCAGGATTAGAATGATAAATTTTCTTGATAAGTAATGCATTTTTCACTTTATGTTATATACAATTTTTCATTTCTTCCTTCAATAGTTCATCATATCTTAAAGATAAGGCTTATTTTTAGCTACACTTTTTAGAAATTTATTTTGATCTCACTTTGCAGCATGTAACTCAAAAATCACCACTTCACTCTTTGGAATTCAAAATTTGTTGTACCTTGTCCCCTAAAACTCAAAATTCGCCCTCTAGAACATATGTGAGATCCACCACCGTTTAAGACTATGCCAAATGTGTCAATGAATTTGATTTATAAATCTTCACTATGCGTTACCATTCAATCAGAAAATATTAAGTTTAAAATAAGAAATTAAGAATTGAGATTTTTTTGAGTTGTGCTTGACTTGCAGAGATGGAAAAATAAAAATAAAAATGAAATTGATTAGTCTAATGCATCCAAATCAAAACCACATAACGAAATTAAAGGAATTAAGGTAGTATTGAACAAACTTTTGAGTTTTATGGAGTAAAATGACGACTTTTGAGTTTCACGGGGCTAAATGGAATCAAAATCGAATTTTTCGGGGCAAAGTTGAGCGAATTTTGAGTTTCATGAAGTAAAATAACAACTTTTAAGTTACAGGAGATGCTAAAATGTACACATCAACTATAACAGTAAAAAAATAGACCATACTAATATTCTCCAACCGAAGTGCCAAATCCAATGTGGCGATGACATGGATTGGCAGCGAAAGAAGTTGTTGTCAAATTTGACAGCAGCTTTAAATGTTTTTTTATTAATTATTAAATATAATTTATTAATTTTTAATTAGTTTAATCATTTATTATAATTAATCTTGAGTTGACCGATGCAATTATCCTACTTTTTTTTTCTTTTCAATCAAGGAAGGTAAACAGATTACTGATTAAATTTTAATTAGTTTAATAATTTATTTTATAAAATAATAATTTAATTTGACATATCAATTGGAGAACAAAACTTTAAAAAATATCAAAGTGCTACATAAGCTGTCAAAATTTAAATTTTATATTTAAAATTTGACATTTCCTTTAAAGATGTTCTAAGTGAATTCAACCTAATAAGTTATTCACTGTATTCAACGGAGACCATATGATAATATACAAATTAGTAATACGTTAATGCCATGTGTCGATATACCCCACAATCATAAAGTTATTTTTTGTGACGGAGACATTGTCTTAATTCCATATTATTGACTTGGTAAAACACACTTATTTGGATAAGTCATTGAGTCGACACAACACCTGCCAGGAAATTTACAAAATAATAATTCTTTTTAATTAAGGTAAAAAATCCTCTTCACACTTGCCGAAATTAAAAATTAATAAAAAAAATTATTGGTTTATAGCATGACGTGGACAATTCTAATAATAATTTTGCTTCAAATATGATCCATCTAACATGATCCTCTCAGGATTATTTTGATGAAGATTATGGGGATCTGTAAATCATGTCGGTTTATCGTACATCGTATGATTAGTTTTTATCAAGTACTGTTTGTGTTTAATTTTAAATAAAAATATTTAAAATAATTTATAACTATACGATGTACGATTCACGAATATTCGAAATCCTCACAAAGAGGATCCGAATTCATGATCCATAATTCTCAATTATTGTTCTAAGAATTTATTACATTTCAATTTCAAATTATCCTCCCGTCGTTAGAATAGTAATATCGTTCATAACAAGAAGATGAAATATCAAATGATCATGAATCGGCTTTATAATTTTTAATTTGTTTTAGCTAAAACGGTTTCGAAATTGACATAACTCATTTTAGTCTATGACATAAAAAATCGATAGAAGTGGTTTATAAGTTTGACATAACTTCTTACTTTGGTCCTCCTACAGTTAAATAGAAAACAATTGGAGGGGTTGACTAAACAAAAATACCCGCACTTTAAAAGAGATTTTTATTAAATAAACAAAATGATTGACCGTGAACAAAACCAAGGACCATCTCCCATGAAAAATTTATGTTAAATAAAAAAGTAAGTGAATGGGTTAATTAGACAAAAATACCCTCAATTTAATATAAATTTCTACAAAATGATTGATAATAGACAAAATAAAAGAACATTTCAATTGATTTTTTATTTTAAATATCAAAATAAAAAATTATACGAATCTCGAAAAAAAAATTGGAAAAAAACACACACACACACTTTATTTCTCTGTTTTGGTTAATTGGCAGTACGCTACGACCCTTTCAGATTTCTGTACAAACATCTTAAAATATCTACGCAATTCCTTGTCCATATTCTACATTATTGTTGCCACGTGTATCTGTTTGGGTCCAGGCTTGGATTTTTAAGTGAATAAGCCGCAGAATATTTGACAATTTATTGTTTTCTGTACGAGTATAAATGATTTATTTATAAAAAAAAATTAAAAAAAAAATTAGAAGAGCGGAAAGATTAGAGGAGATATCTGGATATCTTCCACTAAGATTATTAGATTAAGTGATTTGGACTTTTTAAATTTTATCCAACTGTCTACTTATTATGATCCTTTAAAAACTGTAATAATTTTTTTCCGTATGATGAAATTAAAAAAATTTGAATCATTTAATCCGGTGATCTTAATAGAAGAGATCACAAAAAAATCTCTTCTCGAAAGATTGAATCAGAAAGCATGGTGATGTATTTGATGTTGGCCCACCTCAGCTCTTGGAATTGATAGGTTACTTACTGTACCACTTTGCGTGTTCACTTGGTCACCTACGTCACAATCCGCAACCAATTTTAAGTTTTTGCAATGTAGCCACCTAGTTTATTAATTGCTGCAATTTAATAATTAATATTTCTGTTTGACAACCTTTTTCGATAAGTATTACGTTGGTGACAAATGAAAAGGTAAAATCGACTTTTGTAATTGTAAAGTGAATCAGGATTCTCTCCTAAGCAAATGATCAGGCCTAGCCGTTCAAATTTTATTCAACCGTTATAATTATTATAATTTTTAGAAGAGTCTTTTGTTTATAACTGTTGAATAAAATTTAAACGGATCGATGAGCCTGATCAGGAGGATTCTTACCATTTGCTTAAGAGAGGATCTTGATCCTTGTAAAGTAACTTCTTAAAACAACAGAAATGAGTAAAGTCAATCGACCTTCAAACGATGTCACGTTGTTTGAAAATGGTGGTGATATAATTGGGTCATTATCCTCTCGACGGTAACAATTAATAAACTATATGGCTAAAATTATATATATTGAAATTACAAAACCATGATAATAATTCAACCTCTTGTACGCAATTCTTTACCACAATAATGAAAAGATGTTGAATTTTTATATGATGCATGATTTCAAATCTCGTCAATGATTAAGTTAACATCCAATTTAACATTAAATTTAACAAAATTTATCGTTTGACTAAAAAAATAAATAATAATTCGGCGTCTTCTCTTCCAGAATGTGCAGCCAAGCGGCTCACAAATCCTTGTGCTGCGAAGGATGCAAATGGAGAAGGTTCTGGAGTATGTAGCTTTCGTCAAACTGAAATGGGTTTAGTCAATCCTCCACAAGCCTTGACTTTAGCCCAAGCTGAGAAAGGATTCAAAAAAATGGGCTAAGCCCACATACAATGAATTAATACATTTAGTTTGGTCAATGGAAAAGGCCCTCTTGTTTCTAGAATTATTTTTTCGACAAACGCTAAGGTTGATGAGTTACGTTGTTATTATTATTATTTTTAATATTAGCTTTATGTCGAATCATGATT